TTGGGTTTTCGGCTGGTCGAACGAGCATGCGACATGCGGTGTTGGATTTTTTGCTTCAGTATTTCCATCAATAGTAATTTATTTTGTCCCATTTTGTATATATGAACCTATTAACAGGCTAATTGAAAAATGCAAATGACATGATTGATGTAAGTGTTTTAAAGAACCTTATTTCCAGCAGCTCACAAGGGGGCTCAGTCATTATAAAACTAATTATTAATAAAATGCAGCTCTGTGATAGCTACATCATTAAATCAAAAGCACAATAACTGAGTTTTTCTTTTTTTAATAATACAGACTGTTTCCTCATTACAATAAAACAACATATGAGAAACAAGAGTTTATTTGAATGTTTTTTAAATGCATCAACAAAATAAAATTAAGCCAAAAAATAAATAAATAACAGAAGTCAAATGTACATTTTTTTAAAAAGTGGATCTTAAAAAAAAAACTACATATAACAAGAAATAGTTAAAGGGGGCATTGCTTCATCAGCTGCTTGACGTGTTGCTGGGTGTCACGTTCATTTTAGCAGTTTTGCAAATATGGCACCTCACTGAGACTGAGCCTTTGCTGGATATGTGAGATCAAGAGTCTGAGACAATGTGTCCAAAGTGATCATGGGCTGGATTCACACGCTGAAGTGGTCTCACAGGCAGAATCTTGGAGTCCATGATACATGACACTGATTATTTTCCCCAAAACCCTGGAATGAGCCACTACTCTGAGGCATGAAATGTGAGTGAGAAAATAAACGTCACCACTGCAGAAACTAAATAATAGTGTTTTTATATGATACATTTATATCATAGGTTTTTAGGCAAAAATACATCAAAAACATCTCATGTGGGGTTTTCTGGTAGTTTTGTGTAAAACGTGATGAGATGGGGTCTCCTCATTATATGAAAAGCAGTTCAGCAGACTCAGGGTTAAACAGTAGAAGAATCATTTACTGTTGGAACTTATGCATCTTTGCAGGTCATATTATCACCCCACTTCTGAGGCTGCGCTCGACCACTGGGAGCATTTCTATATATCAGAAAATATTCTGCTCAACCCCTCATTCACATAAGATACTTTCTAATCCTATCATCTCTGTCATCTGATGAGACAAGTGACAAAGATGGTTTTGCCAGGGACACCAACAGGATGTCACAGAGCAGAATGCCTAAGCTTGACCTCTTGAGAGTTGTCCAATAGAAAGCTTTTCCAGCTTTCTGCAAACTCAGTGTCAGTAATGCATA